AGAATATTCAAATCCCTGATCTTCAACTGGTGATAACCCGAACGGAGATCAATCTTGGAGAAAACCCTCGCTCCCTGAAGCTGGTCGAATAAATCTACAATGCGAGGCAATGGATACTTGTTCTTAACTGTTACCTTGTTTAATTGCCTATAGTCAATGCACATTCTCATAGTGCCATCCTTTTTCTTCACAAACAAAACTGGCGCACCCCAAGGTGACACACTAGGCCGAATGAACCCCTTATCAAGGAGTTCCTGAAGCTGCTCCTTTAACTCCTTCAACTCCGCTGGTGCCATACGATACGGCGGAATAGAAATGGGCTGAGTGCCCGGCACCAGGTCAATACCAAAAGCAATATCCCTGTCCGGTGGCATGCCCGGCAGGTCTGCAGGAAAAATATTAGGGAAATCCCTCACAACTGGGACAGAATCAACACTGGGAGTCTCAGCTCGAACATCCCTCACGAAGGCAAGATACAATAAACAACCCTTCCCAACCATACGTAGGGCCTTTAAGAAAGAGATCACTCTACTAGGAACATAATCAGTCACACCTCGCCACTCAATCCGTGGCACACCCGGTATAGCCAATATGACTGTCTTGGCATGACAGTCCAGAATAGCGCGACACGGAGACAACTAATCCATGCCTAGAATGACATTGAAATCCACTATACTCGATAATAAAAGATCAACTCGGGTCTCCAAACCCCCAATAATCACCACACACGACCTGTACACATGGTCTAAAATAATAGTATCGCCCATCGGGGTAGATACATGGACAGGTGAAGCAAGAAACTCACGAGGAGTACCCAAATAATGAGCAAAGTACGATGGCACATAAGAATAGGTAGAACCGGGATCCAATAGCACAGAGGCATCTCTGTGGTAGACTGAAATAATACCTGCAATGACAGTGTCGGAGGCAACAGCATCGGATCTGCCTGGAATAGCATAGAAACGGGCCTGATCGACCTCCCCCTCTGGGGCGACCCCTGACTGACTGATCCCCACCCCTAGCTGGCTGGGCGGGTGGTGGTGGAGCAGCTGGAGCTGAAGCTGATGACTGGCCCCTCTGCTAAGATGAACTAGCAACACGGCGAGGACACTGCCTCCACATGTGGCCCATCTCGCCATACTCGTAACAAATCCTAGGTGCTGGAGAAGGGGACTGATGGGAACCCCTCGCACCAGAGTGACCAGCTGATGCACTCGGCGTAGAAGAGCCCCGAACAGATGGAGCACGGGATGAGCTCTGAGCTGGGAGGGCACTAAGTAAAGAATGGCCCTGGTGTGAACTGTGAGAACCATGACCCGACGATGCTCCTCGATAACCTGAGCGATCAGACTGACCCTGACGGAACTGTTGGCCTCTGCCGTGCTGGAACTGGCCCCTCGAAGGACCACCACTGTAGCTACCAGATCCTCGAGGCCTCTTTGCCTCCCTCTCCTCTCTCTCCTGGCTACGGACAGACTCAATCTCCCTGGCAATATCCACAACCTCCTCGAATATAGCACCAGTCACCCTCTCCCTGGTCATGAGAATACGGAGCTGATAAGTAAGACCATCAACAAACCTTCTGATCCTCTCTCTATCTGTCGGGACCAACCAGATGGCATGACGAGCCAACTCAGAGAACCTTAACTCATACTGTGACACGGTTATGTCTCCCTGACGCAACCACTCAAACTGTCTACGCAACTCCTCTCCGCGAGACTGCAGTACATACTTCTCCAGGAAGAGAACGGAGAACTGCTACCAGGATAGGGGTGCTGCACCAACAGGCCTACGCCTCTCAAAGTCCTCCCACCAAGTAAAAGCATGTCCTGAAAACTGATAAGTAGTGAAAGCGACCCCGCTGGTCTCCAAGATACCGGCTGTACGAAGCATCCTCTGACACTTGTCTAGAAAGCCCTGGGCATCCTCGCCCTCTGCTCCGCTGAAGGTCGGAGGCTAAAGTCTCCCGAATCTCTCCAACCTGCGCTGCTTATCCTCTAGCATGACAGGAACTATATAGTCCTGAGCAGTTGTGACCGGTTGGGCTGGAGGTGCCCCCGGCGTCTGAAGTCCCTGCACGACCTGCTCAGGTGTGCGAGCGGCGGGAGTCTGACTGCCTCTCCCGGCCTGTGAAGTAGCTGCGGCTGTAGTAGCTGAAACCGCCTGAGCTATGCTAGTGCAAACTAATAAGATCTAAGCCAAGGCCTCCTGAAGACCCGGAATCACAATAGGCACTGCTGGTGCCTGAGCTGGTGCTGCTGGAGGGTCCACAGCTGGGACCTGGTCCTGAACTGGGGCAGCTGGTGGATCTGTAGGTGCTGCCCTCGCTGCTCTGCCTCTACCACGACCACGACCGCGTCCTCGGCCTCTGGTGGCCGCAGCTGGTGTCACTGGGGGTCATCCACCCTCTCCGGTAGCGCGTGTCCTCACCATCCGTGAGAGAATGGAACAACAGAAGTTTAGTACTCGGATCAACAACTCGCACGATAAGAATTTCAAGAATGTGAAGTTTTTCCTAAAGGTTCTGCAGCCTCTCGAGGATAAATACAGACGTCTCCGTACCGATCCGCGAGACTCTACTAAACCTGCTCAAGACTCGTGGGACCTATGTAACCTAGGCTCTGATACCAACTTGTCACGACCCTAACCCCGAACTCGGTCGTGATGGCGCCTCTCGTGAAGACAAGGCCAGCCAGTTTAATCCAATTCATCTTTTAAAGTAGTTAAACAACACAAAATAGTCTAAACATGATTTAATAATTCTAAGTAGCAAAAATATCAAGAATAATGCAGAAATCCAACCTAACACAGCCCTAATCGGGGTGTCACAAGTCAAGAGCATCTACCAATTTTAAGTCCAAAAATCTTACCTCGAATCGTTTCCCCTTGAATCCCTCTTTAATATCCTTCAAAAATCTCTCAAAATGATCAACTATGGGTGAAAATAGACCCAAAATCGCGGACAAGACGACTTAAAAACATTCTGCCCAGGCCCGACTTTTCCTTCTTCGCGAACGCGGTCAAACCCTCGCGTTCGCGTAGCACAAACTTTCTTTGACCACTTTTTACTCTTCGCGAACGCGGCACTCCCTTCGCGAACGTGATGGTTCTTCCTCCTACACCTTCGTGAACGCGATAACCCGTACGCGAACGCGATGAACAAAAGGCCTCGAACCCCTCAGACCCAAATTACTCTACGCGACCGCGAGTTCCTTATCGCGAACGCGATGCACTGCTTACCAACCTTCCGCGAACGCGAAGCCCATCTCGCGAACGCGAAGGCTAATTTCTGGCCTTCCTCAATTCCTTCTATGTGAACGCGATGTGCCACTCCCCAACGCGAAGGACAAAATACCTGCAACTGTTGGAACAAAAATCTGCAATTTTCCAAACTCCAAAATGGTCCGATTGACCACCCGAAACTCACCCGAGGTCCCCGAGACCTCAACCAAAGGCACCAACACATCCTAAAACCTTATTCAAACTTGTTCCAATCATCAAAACACCTCAAACAACATCAAATTACCCAAAACACATCGGATTCAAGCCTAAGTTTCTAGAAATCTTCCGAAATACGCTTCGATCAAAACCCCAACCAAACCACGTCCGAATGACCTGAAATTTTGCACACACATCCCAAATGACATAACGAAGCTACTGTAACTCTCGAAATTCCATTCCGATCCCTGGATCAAAATCTCGCCTATCAATCGGAAATCGCCAAAATATCAACTTCGCCAATTCAAGCCTAATTCTACTCCGGACCTCCAAAACCCATTCCGATCACACTCCTAAGTCATAAATTACCTCCCGAAGCTAACCGAACCATCGGAACTCACATCCGAGCCCTCTAACACATAAGTCAACATTCAGTTAACTTTTCCAACTCAAACCTTCTTAACAGAGACTAAGTGTCTCAAACTTCACCAAAACCATTCCGGATTCAATCGAACCCACCCGATACCTCAAAACACGGATAAACAATACATATAGAAGCAAAAATAGGGGAAACAAAGCGGTAACTCATGAGACGACCGGCCGGGTCGTCACATTAACCTTCAAAATTAAGGAAACATAAGTTTTGTTAAGTTCGGTGGGTATAAGGGAGGTATGGAATAATTCTGCGCAAAGGCTTGTGATTGCTCTTTTGGTGTCACGCCAGTATTTTTGGAAGACAATCCGTTGAAAACCGTCTGGGCCTGGCGCCTTATGTGGTTTAAATGAGCGAAGCGCTTGTAGAATTTCAGTTTCAGCTAAAGGACGACTGAGGTGTAAAGAAGTGTCTGGGGAGAGGGCCTGTGGCGCAAGAACCATGATTTGTTTTAGAGTGAGAAAAAGGCCAGTGGTGTATATTTTGTGAGAGTGGGGTGTGATGAGTGTTTTAATTTGGATAGGATCGAGGATCCAATTACCAACCGTGTAGTGGAGTCCAAAGATACGATTTTTTCTACGATGGCGGACTGTACTAAGATGAAATATTTTTGTATTGACATCACCTTCGTGAAGATTTTGAATGCGAGATTTCAGTTTTCAAAAGTCTTCTTCATATTTTAGGAGGATATTAAATTATTGAATGAGCTGATGTTCTAAGTTTAAATGATAGTTGGTTTTAGAGTGCGGGGTCATATTTTGAATTCCATCAATTCTAGCTTGGAGAATGTTCATTTGATGGAAAATATTACCAAAACAAGAATGATTCCAACCTTTGATAACTTCAGTAGAATGGACTAGGGTAGGTAGATAGTCAATGTTATTGGACCAAATATTATGTACTAAACGTTGGAAATCAGAATGAGAGAGCCACATGGTCTCAAATTTGAAGCCCGTATTGGTTCGCGGGGTTGCACGTGCCAGATTCAATAGAAGTGGGCAATGGTCAGAGTGTGTCCGTGATAAATGTAATACTGATGAATCTTGGAAAAGTCGCAGCCAACCGGAATTAGCTAAAAATCTATTGAGTCTTTCTAGAATAAGTGTGTGTAGCAACTTACATTTATTAGTCCATGTGAAGCGTGAGCCAGTGAAACCTAAGTCATGCATACCTATATGATGTAGGCATTCCAGAAAAGCATTTATTCTGGTATTATTGATTGGGTTGCCTCCAAACTTTTCGGAGCCAGTTGTTACACTACAACAAAAATTGCTTTTACCGACCAATATTTAGCGGCAATAAACTAATTGCCGCTAGTTTAATGTTATAAGTAAAATCTTTACCAGCAAATGATTGATAGACGGCGATAAATCCTTTCACTGGCAATTGAAATATTTGGCTAGTAATAGTTATGTCGGGAATCACCAATTTTTCATCTTCCCTCCAATCTTTTCCTCTGTTCCCTCCACTTTTATACATCAGAGAGATTTTTCTTTTCAAATACTTATTGCAATCTCTCTCAACTTATGCTTCCACATCAGCCCAAAAATAACTCTCCACCTCGCTTTATCTCCCTCACGTCTCTCTCCCCCCTATTAACAAAATAATAGTAACACATAGAAGAACAATAGCTATCTTCTTCTATCCTTATAGATTTACTTCAGGTAAGTAATCCATTACTCAATTTTTATTTAGCGTTAATGTTTAATCGAATAGTTTGAATAATTTGGATTTCCCTTTTTGGATGTCTGATTTGGATAAAGAATTAGTTTTGTATGACTTTGTTCCTAGATTTTGAGCCACTGATATTCGGGATTTTTTAAATTTTATTTTGAATTTGAACTGCAATGATTACAACCATAGGGAGAAACTATGTAGTCCTTGCCAAAGGGGCGGCTGGAGTTTCAGAAACCCTATCGCTCTCCTTCCTCGGTTTGATTTTCCTTCTAGTATCCTTTTCGATAAACCTGTAAGTTGTAAATCTTCATCTTGTTAACTCGATATTAGTACGTTTATGTAAATTGATTTTTCTTGATGTATTCCTTTGTATGTGTTCTTCAAATAGTCAATTTTTTTTTTTATTTGGAAGTTACGACTCGGATCTCTCTTCTTCGCTTCCTCCTCTCCATGAATTCCATCGCCACGGCGTAGAGTTTTTCTTGGAAGTTGCTGATACTGGTTCGCTTTTTTGCTGTTATTTTGTTTCAATATTAATTTGTTTTCCTTTAACTTAGGTATTAATTTGAATGGTTGTATTGTTGTTTTTATCTGTGGGATGTTCGATGATAGACTTTGTTCTCGTGCAGTGGGATTGGATACAATGAGTTTCAATATATTATGGAAGATGGTCCAATAAAATCTAGATTTTTCTTTTTCTGTGTTCATAGGAAACTACTTTGCAATACATAGACCTTACTGTTTGAGATTATTCTTTATTTCTATAAGTTATGTCTCTTTTTTATAGTGGATTATAATAAGCATACAATCAATATTGTATTTTTACTTAGTGTCACTGCTCTGAAATATTTAACTTTCTCATTGATTATAAAAGTGATGTCCAAAGGTTTTATAATTTATAATCAGTTTCTCATGTTGTCATGCTACTTGTGTTTCCTTAGTTTTAGACCGGATACTTCTATCTGTGATTGGAAGTTCATTATTTTCAGGTTCATCATTCATACCTGCACCCCAATTTGCTAAAATATTGTGTTGTTTTGCAAGCAATCATTAAGTGAATTGAATTATGTACAGAGTTAGTAAGCGTATTCCTCCAGAAAAATTACATCAACCGTGAATTGGATGGATTGTCTATAATCTACTTGAGCAAACAATGTGTTGTATTTGCTTGTCGTTTTGGGGATGGAGTAAGCAAGCAGAAGGGAACTGCAACATGAAGATGAGGAAAAGGTGACTGTTATATCCACCATTTCATTGTGTTCATACTTGACTTTTTCTTTACATTAGAATTTGGAGCATCCAAAATTTTGGATAGGATAGCTTTCGGCATTGTGGAAATCGTAGTTTTCCTTGGAGTTGAGTGAGAGGCTATATGCTATTGTGAATTTTTGTCATTGAGTAATTATGCCTTATTTTGGTTAACATTTTCTCATTCTTTAGATATGACCTATTGTAGATATTTTTGTATATGCGAGAATAAAGATCAAATATTTTAAGGGAAGTCACAAAGATCTTCACAGATGTATTTTACATTACAAGTCTGATATCTCCTAATAGAAAGCATGCAGCCATATAAAACTCTATCATGGCAAGTTTTGTTTATTTTTTCTCAAAGAGAAAATCTTACATTATTTAACTATTTCTTTTCTTATGACTTTTCAGGTTTTCATGAATATACCTTTCTAAAGAAGAGATACAAAGGGCCTCTGGCATATGTAGGAAAGATAAAAGGTTATTGTAGCTTCACTCCAAATTCTTGGAACACTGGTTTCTTCTTTTGCTTTTGATTTTATTTTAGTCAAGTTTTGATTTCCATGTTTGTTTTTGTTTCGACATTTCTTTTCCATAAAGAAAAGAAGAAAAAAGTCTAAATTGGCGTTAAATCATCAAGTTGGACGAAGGTAAGTGCATGACAGAAAAATTATTTGGAGTGGTTCTGTACCTTTTGGAGTGGTTCTTTACCTTGATGTTTGTCCAAAGCATCTTTAGAGAAAGATTAAGAAACTTGGATGTCACAATGTTAATTTTTCTTTTAAATAAATAAAAAGTTTATTGATATGAATAATTTGCATAGGAAGTGGCCATAAACCTGATCTCTCTAAGATATGTATCAATATTAAGAGAGTATTATAATTTTCCATGAAAATTACATGTGCATATGTATGAAATGGCTGCAATTCTAATGCACGGTTATCAAGATTTTCCTAAGCCTTCTGTATTGTTCATCACTCCAAACCCTTGAAGAATTCTTGTTTAGCAATGGTGTAAAAGAGTATTCTATTAAATTGCATGATTTTTATTTTGAAGTAAGCTGTGGGATATGTATTGGGAAAAATTGAGTTTATATATATTGAAGTAATTGAAAGATGACATGTCATGACATGTAAGTTGGTCAAAGAAGATGATTAGCAAAGAGGCACGAGTTGCAACAGATACGAGCAGAGGTACGAGCAGAGCCACGAGCAGATAATCAAAAGACTCGGTGCTCGTACCTATTTAAGTCCAAAAATTAAGGAGAATGAATCTGACAGCACAAGAGAGTACGGATACAATATTTAATAAGCATTAAATACTGAAAACGTTATAAAATCTGTATTGAATTATAATGATTGTTATTGTAACGTAACATTATATGCCTTTAATTGTCTATAATGGCCTTATTATGACAAACGCAAAACGTATATCTGAGAAATAGCTATAAAAAGGAGAATACTGATCATTTGTAAGGGGACGAAATATCATTGGAATATACTGATTACTTTGTTTTCTTCTATTTTTCTTATTATTATCAAAGCCAATTTCTTTCATTTTATATATTGATTATCAGTAACTCGTGTTCTTCTAAAATAAAGTTTTGATCGAAATTACTATTTTTTGGTTAAACAAATTGGTTTCGTTATCGGGAATTCGATAATCTATTCTTTCTTAACCTAACCTTTTTTGTTGCATCAATCATGTCAAACGTTAATGACAACAACCAAGGAAACCATCAACTCCATGGGAATTCACAAGATGATCGCACCTCGATCCCTTCTCCACAAAGCTCCCCTCGGCGGTCTCGAGAAGGCACTCCTGATGGATCTCATTCAAATGCAAATGCTCAATTTGAAAACGATGAAGCTATCAATGAAGCTTTGCAAAAGCTAATCCCTCAACAGGTCAATAAAGCTCTTGAGGCCTTTGTCAGCCAGTTACCTGTTGCACCACCAACACCAACTTCAAATAACAACACTTTGGAAAACCCTCGTTCTGGACTTGCTAATTCGGGCAATGGTGGAATCCCCAGCGAGTCACGAGATGGAGAACCAGGTAACTTAGTCAATTCTGATTTACAAAATTTAGTTCTAACATTGCAGAAATAGCTCAAGGAGCAAAGTGACCGCATAGAGCAAATACCTGGAGTACCGCCTGTAATCAAAGGGATAGCTATGGACAAATATTCACAACAACCTTGGAAGCCAAGTGCTGCTCTCCTACCAATTCCAAAGAAATTCAAAATGCCTGATATTCCAAAATACGATGGAACAACTGATCCACGAGACCACGTGACTGCATTCACAACTGGTGTAAAGGGCAACGATTTAACCAAACAAGAAATTGAATCAGTGTTGGTTAAAAAATTCTGTGAAACACTCACTAAAGGAGCAGTGACATGGTATTCTCTTTTACCTAAAAATTCCATAAATTCTTTTTGCTGAGCTTGCAGATTTATTTATCAAAGCACATTCGGGAGCTCAAAAAGTTGAAAAAAGAATGGAAGATATTTTCAAAATCAAGCAAGGGGACTCAGGGTTGCTTAGAGAGTTCGTGGATAGGTTCCAGCGTGAAAGAATGACGATACCACGTGTACCGGACAATTGAGCAGCTATAGCCTTCGCCAGTGACCTGAAAGAAAAAAGCTCAGAAGCCACGAGGTGACTCAAAGAAAGTTTTCGTGAATTCCCAGCGACAACATGGAATGATGTTTACAATAGGTATAGCACGAAGCTAAGGATAGAAGAAGGTATTATCTCACGGTCTCAAAAAGAGGAAAAGGTGAGTTCGAGACGGGCGGAAACCGAAAAAAGGTTCGGTAAAAATAGATACGAATCATATATGGGCCCAGCGGGAAAAGATTCACGATCAAAACATGACAATTCAAGGTACGATCATAGTTCGAGGAATAGAGAGTCGGGCTCATCATCGAGGTTTGAGAAGGATCGTAACACCCGAGAGTCGCGGGATGATGATAGAAACTAGAAAACAAGATTTGGCGGTTATAATTTTAATGTATGCACTTCCGAGCTTGTAGCTGTTTTAAGAAGCATGAGTGATAAGGTGCGGTGGCCAAAAGAAATGAGATCAAATCCAAACAGGCGCAATCCTGATCACTGGTGCGAATTTCACAACGATCATGGTCATAAAACGGCAGATTGTAGGTTGCTACAAGGTGAAGTTGATCATCTATTGAATCAAGGGTATCTCACCGAATTATTCAGTGAGAAAGGTAAGCAAGCATAAATGAAGAATAGGCAGGAGCCCCCTAAACCGCCTTCTCTCAAAAGGACCGTTAATATTATAAGCGGAGGTGAAGAAATTAATGGTGTGACGTACATAGCAGCCAATAAAGTTTCAAAAGTCACAATTACCCACGGGAAGCGGGTTCGACATGTTTTGGAGGAAGAAAGTATTACGTTTGATGATGCAGATGCAGATGCCGTGTTAACTCCACATAACGATGCACTGGTAATATCTCTACTTGTACATGATACTAATGTGAAACGAGTTTTGATTGATCCAGGTAGTTCCATGAATATTATCCTGCTAAGAGTACTGCACGAGATGCAAGTTGAAAATAAGCTAGTACCAAAGGCGCATACCTTATCCAGATTCGACAACTCAAGCGTTGTGACAAAAGGGGAGGTAACGCTTATTACATTTGTAGAAGGGGTTATCAATGATACAAAATTTCAGGTGGTAGAGTTGGAAATGGCTTATAATATGATTCTCGGGAGACCATGGATCCACGAGATGGATGCCGTTCCGTCTACCTTGCATCAAGTTATCAAATTTCCATCACCATGGGGAATATGTCAAATTCGTGGGGATCAACAAACATCCAGATGCCTCAACTCTGTAGCATATTCAAATACGAGAAATGAAGACAAGTAGCAATTACAGCATCCAGTTGAGGATACCACAATACAAACCTCAACTGAACAAGGGCGAACAGATGTGGACTCACGGCCTGATTCCATTCAAGAACCAGAGGAAAATGAAAATATTAAAACAACGATTGAGGAACTAGAGGCTGCAGAGTTAATTACACAATGGCCAGAAAGGAAAATCTATGTTGGGGCTAACCTGAGCCGCAATATGAAAGGTAAGTTGATTGAATTTTTAAAGACTAACGTGGATTGTTTTGCCTGGTCCCTTTCTGATATGACAGGAATTCCACCGGAAGTAATGACTCACAAGTTAAATGAAGACCCATCATATCAACCCATCAAACAAAAAAAAAGAAAGCAGGGGACTTTCAAGAATCAGGTAATTCAAGATGAGGTTCAAAAACTATTAAACATTGGGTCTATCCGCAAGGTAAAGTATCCAATTGGTTAGCTAATACTGTTGTGGTGCCGAAAAAGAATGGCAAATGGCGAGTTTGTGTAGACTACACAGACCTTAATAAAGCTTGTCCTAAAGATTCTTTTCCATTACCACATATAGATCAACTAATTGATGCTACTGCAGGACATGAGTTATTAAGCTTTTTAGATGCATATTTCGGGTACAGTCAGATCAAAATGGATCCCCTAGATGAAGAAAAAACTTCATTTATCACAGACAGGGGGACTTACTGTTATAAGGTAATGCCTTTTGGTCTCAAAAATGCTGGTGCAACGTATCAAAGATTGGTAACCAAAATGTTCCAAGAACATTTGGGAAAAACTATGGAAGTCTATATAGATGATATGCTTGTCAAATCTCAACAATCAAGAGATCATATATCCCATTTAACTGATACATTTTAGATTTTACGAAAATTCAATATGAAACTAAATCCCGAGAAATGTGCGTTTGGTGCTTCATCAGAAATCGGACCTAAACTTTCACTACCAAACCCGCGGTTAAAAAGCTGTCAACAGAATCATGAGCAGCAGTAGGAACATCATCATCGGGAATCACCAACGGGGCTTCAATAGAATCGGTAAGAGGAATGGAACGAGGGGGAGATGCTTCATCATCAGAAATGATTCGTCTACAAGCTCGTGGCCTTTTTACCAAGGAACTCCCGTCTTCCTCTTCTTCAGAGTCTTGGTCAACAATAGCTTTTCTTTTCGATGAAGAGCCCAAAATTATCTCTTGGGCCCTTTCTAAAGAAATTCGAGAAGCTACGACCGCCTCAGCACTAATACGTCGGATAGCAAATCCTGATAAAAAGAAGGATTAGAATAAGTTCTGGAAAAAGCAATAAGAAAAGTTACAAAAAAACTCTTACCGTGAGTTTTCACTTTCCAACCAAATTATTGAGAGAGAGTTTTCCAAGATCTACCTTCCATTGGGGCTGTATTTAATAACTTTCCTACCCAACCACGGAAATTGGGAATTTCATAACAACTCCAATGGTTGCTGAAAAAGAAAAGGAAAATTAAAATAATGATCATCAAAATTGAAGAAAAAGGTACGAGAAAGTTATTAAAAAGAAAACTCACGTGCAAAATTCCACTTCTCGGGGAAGGGAAAGTTTTCTTCAACCACTAAACCAACAGTGGGGGCAGCAACAAACCTGGCATACTAGCCACGG